TTCCCGTGGGTAATTGTTACTTTAGAAACCTTTTTATATGATACGCCGTTGATCTCTTCACCCCCACTTATAACGTTGACAGTTCTCTTGGGAGAAGGTGGTTTTGGAGGCTCCTGGCTGTTCTTCATGTATGCTTGTTTACCTTTCTCACTAAATAACTCAGTGAGATATCCTTGTTTTAAAAAATGATCAACTTCACCCTGCAAAAACCTGCAATCTGCTGTTTTATGCCCATGATCGTTATGAAATTCGCACCAATGATCAGGGTTTCGTCTGTTTGGATTTGATCTCATTTCCTCGGGCCACCGTACCTTATCTCCCATGCTTCTTAAAACAGCCACGAGTTCAGAAGTACTCACGTTGAAATTATAACCGCCAAACCTTGCCTTTAGACTTCCATCATTGTCTCGTGGCTCACGTGCGCTTCGGTCACTCCCAAATCTTGATGATGAGCCTGACTCTCTATTCCTTGATCTGTGATCGTACCTCTGATTATCCTGTTTTGACCGTGAGTCTCTTCCCGCAGGTCCCATGTATGGCTCGTACCTGTTTTTACCGGACCTTGTTTCGTTTTCAGCCCGCCTTGAGCTTACCTTTTCTTCTTTTTGATGTCGTGAAATAATATCTTTTTCAATCCTCAATTTTGTGCTATAACGATTGTAAACATCATTCCATGTTGTAGCTGAGAATTCTCGAAGGCTTTTCTTGAGTCGCCTCGTAGCTTCTGAGCTTTTTTCATTCAAATTGCTCGTGAATGCTATAGCTGCCCAGTTATCCGGTACACGTGGCAATGTCATTCTTTCACGCTGAAATCTGTCCACAAATTCCCTAAGCAATTATGAGTCCCCTTGCTTGATCTTGAAAATATCTTCCATTCTTTTTTCGACTTTTTGGGCTCCCCAGTGTGCTTTGATAAAAGAATCTGCAAGCTCAGCAAAAGAATTTATAGAATTTTCGAGTAAAAGAGAATACCATGTTAGTGCACCTTTAGTGAGTGTTTCACCAAATTTTTTGACTAAAACAGATTCAATCTCCTGCTTAGTCAAATCATTGCCTTTTACACCTGTTGTGAACGCAGTCACGTGGTCTCGCGGGTCTGTTGTTCCATCGTATTTTGGCATCTCAGGCATTTTGAATTTCTTTGGGATTGGAAGGGGAGCAGCACTTGGCTTCCAAGGTTGTTGTGAAATTTATCCATATCTACCCCTTTGATCACTGGTGGCACCCCGGGTATTTGCTCTATGCGGTCATTTTGCTCCTTGAGCTGTTTCTGCAATGTTAGTACTAAATTCTGTAAATTAGAATTAACTAAATTACCTGGTTCTCCCTCCTGTGATTCGTTGGGGGTTCCACCACTACCTGAATTAACGAGTCCAGAACGAGGGTTCTCTAGAGTGTTGTTATTTGGTGTGGGTGTAGGTGGTGCAGCAGGTAATTGGCTAACAAAAGCCTGAAGAGCTTTATTGACTTGAGAAGCAATAAGTTTTTGTAAAGCCTCATCCATAGTTTCAACATTCTCGAATTGAGCTTGTCCATCTGTATGAGACCCATCAGGAGTGCCTTCACGAGACCGCTGTGGAGAGCCTTGTGGAGAAGTAATCATTACGTTGTTGTTCTATGGATCTCCCTGAAGTTGCTGGGTTGTTTGATTTTCTTGGTTTCCCTGAATGTTGTCATTGTTGTTCGACATGGTTGACGCAACAAGGGAAGTTAGGCTAAAATAAAATGGATTATCAGATTCCCGATAACGGAACCAATTTGTTTAACCAAAAAATAGAATTTTGACTAAAGCTATATTTTAGAAGAACACGGGTCACTGATAATCGCAATAATATATAAAAGAGAATAATTTGAATAGCTAGAATATAATTGAATAAAGCAAGTAAACCAAAGTATAGATGATTTTTCGCGTCCTTACAATTGTTCAGTCTTCTCCTTTTATAGCTATCTTTGATGTAAGTGCCTTGCTTTGGTCATAATAAGGCTATTATGGGCAATAAATGACATTGATTGCTACGTTACATAATCATTACATTTAAGACAGATTCTCTAACGTTTTCAGCATTTAATGCTTATCAAATATTGTATTTGGACCCTCGTATGCTGTCAGATTCATTCCTTCTGATTCTCGGATATAAATGACTTAAATAGGTACGGGCGCCGTGTTACTTGTCTGAAGTCCCGTGCCTCTTCCTCTTTCCTTGCTCGTATCTGTAGTAACTCCTGACTCGTGGTTAATTGCGATTCTTTGACCATTTGACTAATCCACGTGTCTTGACACATCACCTTTATATACAAATATAATTTTTCCCAATACACTTAGAATGTGAGATTTATAATCTTGAAAATATGACAAGTTATCTTGTGCAACGGGTAAAAATAACATGTGTAAGTCCAATTCTTGCCTTCTTTATCTTCATTTCGCGAAATCCCCCAATGTAATAGAAATTAAAAAAGAAAAGAAAAGGATAGAGCAAAATGATCAAGAAATGTTACTAATGACATCCTCAATTAGAAGCCCAAGAGATGCATAGGATGAACCACCCTCCTTCATTGCTGCACTGCACTTCTCTTTCATCTCCTTCACCTTTTTCCTGATTCCGTTCTTGTCGCCATCTGCCATCAGCTGCCGTATGCCACTTTCAATTTCCTTGGCAGTCACAATGTCAACAGGATTTTTCCCTTCAAAATCCTTAACATAGACCATCCGAATCTCCACTGCCAATTCCAATTCTTTAACCAGCGCGAATGCATTCATTTGCTGTTCGGCATAATGAGGCCAAGTGGCCATAGGGACCCCAAAGCAGAAGCTTTCCAGTATAGAATTCCATCCACAATGAGACACAAATCCGCCCACCGCTGGATGAGATAGCACCGTTACTTGAGGTGCCCATCCTATCACTTTGCCAACTCCATTTGTCCTTTCAATAAACCCTTCCGGTAGCACTTCCTCAAAATTCTCATAATTACTCGGTAGCTCCATTTTTCCCTTAGGTGGAGGTCTTCGTAACGACCATAAGAACCTGTGACCGCTACACTCCAATGCAATCGCTATTTCTTTGACCTGTTCAGGTTCAAAACTTCCCATGCTTCCAAAGCACAAAAACACTACAGAGGACTCTGGCTTGTCATCCAACCATTTTATAATGCTCTCTGTTTCGGATTGGCTGTTTTGACCGTGACCACCTTCCTTAAAATTCACCACAGGACCAACCGGGTAAATTTGCGGAACTTCCTTTAAAACCAGGGATTGTCAATTCCTCAAGTGAGTCCCTGTACTTGGAGGTGTCTATATTATGCTCCTTTTTAAGGGACTCAAAATGAAGGCAGAGAGCTAGGAAAGAAGCTCTAGATGTAAAGAAAACGTAAGTCGGAACACTAAATTCATTGGCCACGTCTATCATGGGAATGCAGAACATGTCAAGAACGAAGCCTGCGAGCCGAGAATTAGAGGTCATGTTATGAACAAAGTCAATTACTTTTGGTTTGTGACCTCGAATGAAATCTAAGAAGAAAGTTTCCTTATTTGACATTAATTCAGCAGTAGTTTTCTCGTCGACAGTAATGTCGACGAACTTTAAGCGGACTGTAGAAGAGAGGGACTCGACGTAGGATTGAGTGCCGAAATCCATGGGAAGCTTCATGATAAGGACAGAGATGCAGAGCCTCTCATCTCTGTCAAGAATGAGCTTTGCGATTTGGACGGTGGAGATGAGGGGGCCAGCTCCCGGCGCAGGAATGAAAACCAGCTCTGCTTTCGTTGTCATTGAGGTTTCTCTATCTTTTGCTGGAGTAGTAATTCGGTGCTGGTGTTTGTGGTATGAGATAAGGTTTCTGTGTTTTCCGGTGGACAGGACAGAGTACAACAAGTTTACAAATTTGCTACTATTATTATTAAAGTAGAAAGGCTATTGAGATTGAGAAAGACGCTTAGTCATTGCATTTTTAAAAGCTTATACACTTGGTATCATTCATCACCCATCCATTCCCATGTGGTGTGGGTGTGGCAGGCATATATGTACACACACCAATCAATAGTTCAAGTCACATACTTTCATAATTTATTTTTTCTTCACAAAATTCCCTTCAATCCCCCCTTAAAGGGAAATGAGTTTCCGTTATATATACAGTGTAATTTTGACATTATCACGTCACAAAAGGATATATTTATAGGTAAACTTCCTTCAAATATCGGCTTTGTAATATTAAAAACAACGGCAAATTACCAACTACAAGAGGTAAAAATGAGTAATGCTGTAAAATTGCTTATAAGTGCTAAACAATCAAGGGGTATTATCACTTTTAGCCCGTGCCAGAAAATATTTATGTTTGGTAGCCGAAAAAAGTATAAAATTTGTATAATTTTTGTATATAACACACAGAATGTATATATACAAAAAATATATATTTTTAGGTTCTTAATCAATTAACTTTATATTATTATTATTTTTTTTCTTTGAATTATTTGAAACTAGAATAACATTTTCACTACTCTGAAGTATGTTGTATCATAGTCATGTTATATGTGTAATGCATCTTTACATCTTTTGCTTTTTCAATTAAAAGAATATTTGTTTGTATGTTTCGTGCACATGTTAGCATATTTGTAAATAGATATATACATTTTTTTTACTAATTTTATAATTTTTTTTAAAAATTTTACAATTTTAATTTATTTTTATTTATATATTTATTGTATCAATTTATAAAATATTAAAATTAGATAACCATGGGGCGTATGCCTCTCGCCTAAGGGCTTATGTCTCGCCGACGTGTTAGATAAAACACCTTGTCTCACGCCCCCACCTAAAACACTGGTAATAACCTCACTAGAAATAGTTGTTACCCAATAGTTCAAAAGTTAAGGGAGGTTTCTGTAATTTCAAAAACAATAGGGATATTTATATAATTATCCCAAATACAAATTCAAGTGAACAACATGATCCCACGTATTTCCTTTTATTCCTCACAACTTAATTATAGTTCATATAAAAGATTCAGAATTCTCTTACTCTGCCTAATACGCTGATAACAGAGCTATGGACACAAAAAAACCAGAGCTGGTTTTCATTCCATCGCCTGGATTGGGTCACGTAGCTTCCGCAGTTGAAATTTCCAAACTGATTCTTGATACAGATGAACGTCTTTCCATTTCTCTCCTTATAATGAAACATCCTGCCGATTTCGGCGTTCAACCTTATCTTCAATCACTCTCTTCTCATTCCCGTTTGCACTTTGTAGATGTTTCAATTGACTCAAAAACAGCTGCTGAACTCTTGTCTAACAAGGACAGATTCTTGTATGATTTCGTCGTGGGTCATAAATCAAAGGTAAGAGAATATGTTCGTAACAACATTACTAGTAATAGCTGTTGTGGGTTCGTTCTTGATATGTTCTGCATTTCCATGATTGACGTGGCCAATGAATTTGGTGTTCCCAGTTACATTTTCTTTACTTCGGCTACTGCTTTTCTTGCGTTATCGCTTCATTTTGAAGCTCTTAGGAGTAATGCTAACGAAGACGAAATTTCCAAGTATGATTACTCTGAGTCTAATGAGGAATTATCAATTCTTGGATTCAAAAATCTGTATCCTGCTAAAATCTTACCTAGACCAGCTAAATCTGTTACACCTAGCTCGATTTTGTACTTCAATGGTATCCGTCGTTTCAAAGAGACAAAAGGTATTATTATTAATACCTTTGCTGAGCTTGAATCTTTTGCTCTTCAGTCTCTTTCCGATGCTAATATTGTTCGGCAGATTTACCCAATTCATCCCGTAGCCAATCCTGAAGACGGGGATAAGAAACCGGAAACTGAAAGTATTATCAAGTGGTTGGATGATCAGCCCAAGTCATCTGTATTGTTTTTGTGCTTTGGTACATTGGGAAGTTTTGAACCTGAGCAAGTAAGAGAAATAGCAATTGCATTGGAGCGCAGCGGTCAGAGGTTCTTGTGGTCGTTACGAAGGCCACCACCAAAAGGTAAAGTAGAGATGCCAAAAAATTATGATAATTCTGAGGAAGTACTGCCTGAAGGATTCTTGGACAGGACAAATGGGATTGGAAAAGTCGTAGGATGGGCGCCTCAAGTGACTGTATTATCACATCCTGCTGTAGGCGGATTCGTGTCGCATTGTGGGTGGAATTCTGTACTGGAGAGTGTGTGTTGTGGGGTGCCTATTGCTGCTTGGCCGTTGTATGCTGAACAGCAGATGAATGCGTTTTTGTTGGTTAAAGAATTGGGATTGGCAGTGGAGATTCGGATGGATTATGTTAAGGATTTTGAAAGGAAAAATCCAGTTGATATTGTCACTGCTGAGGAAATTGAAGGCGCAATTAAGAAGCTTATGGTGCAGGGTGAAGAGAATGAAGTGAGGAAAAGAGTGAAGGAAATGCAAGAGAAGAGCAGAACAGCCATGGAGGAAGGTGGATCATCTTATACATCTCTACAACTTTTGATTGAGGATTTCATCAGCAACATTTCCTAAAGATTTTCGTGGGACGGATTTAAGTTATGTAAACTGATAATGTAAAGATATTTTTGCACCATCAGTGAATTTTAACCCGTAATAACAGGCTAATAACTATCTTAATGTATATCCAGTGTCCTGAGTGTACAAACTTTTACACTGTCAAAGCATGGAATTTAAACTCCTCAGGATACGCGATGTTCTTAATTCTTAACGAAACTATTATATACGTTCTCAAGGTGCAAAAAGATATTGTTTCATTGCTTATTTGTGGTTGAAGTTGGGTGAGTAATGTTTCATTTTTTCATTTCTATTTGAATTGGTTCAGATTTTTGACTAGTCTTCTTCCTATTTACCAGTATTAGATTGCAAATTTCATATGGAGTAGGAGAAAAATAGAAAAGAAAAGAAAGAGAGAGAATATATGACAAAAATAAACTCGATACAATCTCACAAATGGGGTGTGAAAAAAAAAAATCTTTACACATAGATCTCCTTACACAGAGATGGGCTGAAGATGTTTTTGCCTTTACTATGCTTAAAACTATTTTATGACCAAAGGCATGACATAATTGCCATTCTTGATCGCCAACGCAAGTATACTCTTGAACTCCACACTTGGTTGACTAGATCTATATTCTATACTATGCTCAGAGTAAAAGGGCAGTCCGGTGCACTAAGCTCCCGCTATGCGTTGGGTCCGGGAAAGGGCCGGACTACAAGGGTCTATTATACTCAGAGTAGTTTCGGATATTCCTCTTATATATAATACATATGCTTTGTTGCTAGCTGGTATAAGCCACACTCAGTGATAATAAAGCCCATATTCCTCTTCCAAGTTTAAAATATCACAATTGAAATCTGTAGCTTTGGTGTTGATATATTTGAAACAAACAATGAATGCAAATAAAACCACAGAGTTGGTCTTCATACCATCTCCTGGAATGGGTCACCTAGTACCCGCAGTAGAGATGTCAAAGCTTCTTATAGCTAGCGAGAAACATCTCTCCATCACTGTCCTTATCATAAAAATGAACCTCGACTCCAACCTCAATCCTTACATCCAATCACTTTCCTCAAATACTAATTTCATATCATTAAGATTGAAATTCATACAACTCCCACGAGACGAATCTCCTTTGCAACTCCTCAACAACAATACATTCTTTTCCGGGTTCATTGACAGCCATAAGCCTCAGGTCAGACAAGTTGTGGCTCAAATTTTACAATCTAAAACAACACTACTATCCGGTTTTGTGATTGACATGATGTGTACCACAATCATAGACGTGGCAAATGAATTCGGGCTCCCAACTTATGTTTTCTACACAACTAGTGCAGCCATGCTTGGTCTTCACCTTCATATGCAGAGCCTACGAGATGATTTTAACATAGATGTTACCACGTACAACGACAACCCTGAATTAGAACTCTCTGTACCTACATATTTCAATCCATTTCCGGCTAAATGTTTGCCGTTAATATTCTTGGACAAGGAAGGTGGTTTTGATATTGCCAAAAGATACCAAGAAACAAAAGGTATCTTGGTAAACACCTTTCTAGAGTTTGAAATTCATGCTTTGAAATCACTCTCTTTGGACGGGAAAATTCCACCAGTCTATCCGGTAGGACTATTGTTGAGCCTCAATAGTGGTGTCAGGGATAACGAAGATTTATCTCACCAGGAAATCATCAAATGGTTAGATGAGCAAACTCCATCATCTGTAGTGTTCCTCTGTTTTGGAACATCGGGAAGTTCTAACAAGGAGCAAGTTAAGGAAATTGCAAATGCTCTAGAGGACAGTGGGTGTCGGTTCTTGTGGTCGCTAAGGAAGCCACTGTTAGGACCGAAAAAATCAGGTGTCATGCGGAAGCTAGCAAAGCAAACCTTGAACGACGATAAGTCATACATCAAAAGAGAAACCTATCAAAAGAGACACAAACATTTAACGTGGTTCGGTCAACTGAACCTACGTCCACAACGGAGATGAGCAATCCACTATAATAAAAGAGAGTACAAAATATCGAGAGAACAACCTCACGAAGAGGCAAACACAAGTGACACACTAACACTTGTCCCGTAAAATTCTCCCCCTAAACAAGACTCTCAAGCCCCCTATGGCTATATTGTGGATGCTACTGAATGAGAGGACAGATCTTCAATTTATAGAACTCCAAACCTTTTCCTACAAGAAAAGGGACTAGCCAAATATGGAAGAATTTATAATTTTCTTTTACAAAAAGGAAAACCTAATTAAGGTAATTATATTGCCCTTTTCCTTCAAGAGATAAGAAAACCAAATATGGTAAAAAAAATTATGGCAAACACCTAACAGCCACCACCGAAAGATTCATGGTATTCAAGTGACTACGAGAACCTAGAAGATGTCTTGCCTGAAGGGTTCTTGCAAAGGACGAAAGGGATTGGAATGGTGATAGGATGGGCACCCCAAGGGGCAATTTTGTCGCATGGTGCCGTGGGTGGATTTGTATCACATTGTGGATAGAATTCGATTTTGGAGAGTATTTGGTTCGGAGTGCCAATAGCAACTTGGCCAATGTATTCGGAGCAGCAAGCGAATGCGTTTCAACTGGTGAAGGATTTGGGTATGGCAGTGGATATAAAGATGGATTATAAAATCGGAGGGAGCAACACGGATATCATTAAAGCGGAGGAGATAGAGAGGATAATAAGGCGACGAGCAGATTGGCGCTAAAGGAAGGTGGTTCTTCCTACACCTCTGTTGGACGTTTTATCGAGCAGGTTATGGGCAATAACTGAATAATTGTCAATCACCACATCTCTGTTAAATTGCCGTTCAGCGTGGCCAACGGCAGCAATAATAGTTCCTTTTCTTACAAGTTGATCGTTTCGAAAGTAAAAGGAAAACTAAGAGCAGTGTATTTTCACAACAAAATTGCTCCTTTTGTTTTATTTATTTGCATTAATCTCGTATAATCGGAAAATAAGTTTTGATCAGCTATATATTGCTTTGTAGCACAAAAAAGATAATGTTAGCATTTATTGTTGACACCATCCAAAATGTAGAAGACAATTATCATAAGTAAACAATCCTATATCCCAGAACCATGTGGCAATTTGAAAGCGACTCTATTATTGATGCTAATTGTTGATAATGATTTTTGTCCATCACCTGCTCGATAAAACGTCCAAGAGAGGCATCGGAAGAGCCTCCCATTATAGAAAACCTGCTCTTCTCCTTCATGTCTTCCATTTTCATTCTTATTTCACTGTCAGGCTCCATCAGCTGCCTCACTGCTATTAGAGTGAGAGGACACTGCCATGAAATGGAAAATTGAAACGGAGAGTTTCTCATGTCCGTTCCTCACGCCTTAACTCCTTAACCTTAAACATCAAGGTAAGTGTATTGGCATAGACATTTGTCATTATGAAAGATATTTGTAGTATATGTTCTTTAAGCTGCAGTCTATGCATCTGTATGTGGCATTCCTCAAGAAAGGAAAAGAAAAGACATTGTTTCTTAACTGAGAGAACATGATTTTGCATTCTAGAAGCTGATTCCTTGCACCTACATCACCTTATTATTTTAAGGGTGCGAATCAATATTTAATGATCGGATTTGCTTACACAGTGCAGCATTTACCGAATGGACAACACTAGTAGAAACCATGCTATCGTGTAGAAACCGTGCGTGCATCTCTACTTTATTTAAGGAGGTGATGCATGACTGATGATGGAATTTAAGAAGCTTGGACAACACTAGTTGAAACCATGCTATCGTGTAGAAACCGTGTGTGCATCTCTACTTTACAACAACAACAACAACAACCCAGTGAATTTCCGCAAGTGGGGTTTAGGGAGGGTAGGGTGTACACAGCCTTACCCCTACCCTGGGAGGGCAGAGAGGCTATTTCCGATAGACCCTCAGCTAAAGAAAAGATGAAAGAAGCATTGACAGCAAGTAGTAACAATACAAGATACGTGCATCTCTACTTTATTTAAGGAAATGATGCAAGACTGATGATAGTACTGGTTTAGGCATGAATTCCAGCTTATTCTTGCTAAATTAGTTTTTCATGGCAGTCTCAACAAAATGCCCTAGAGCTACATATGATGATCCACTCTCCAGTAATGCTGCTCTACTTTTGTCCTTCATCTCCATCACCTTAGCCCTGATTTTATTCTCTGAATCCATCAGCTTCCTAATTCCATCTTCTATCTCCTCAGCTTTAACCAGTGGTGGATTTCTCTTATTAAAATCTTCCCTGTAATCCATCTTAATCTCCACTGCCATCCCCAAATCCTTCACCAGTTGAAATGCATTGCTTTGTTGCTCTGCATACAATGGCCATGTTGCTATCGGTACACCACTACGAACACTCTCCAAAGTTGAATTCCACCCACAATGCGACACGAATCCTCCTACTGCAGGATGAGACAAAATAGCCAACTGGGGTGCCCATCCTATCACCTTTCCTCTTCCTTTAGTCCTTTGAAAGAATCCCACCGGCAAGACTTCCTCTGGATTCTCGAATTCGCTTGGGAATTGTAGCTTGTCTTTTGGTGGCGGTCGTCTTAGCGACCACAAGAACCGGTTACCACTTCTCTCTAGAGCATTTGCTATTTCCTTCACCTGATCTTCTTCGAAAGATCCCTTGCTTCCAAAGCATAGGAACACCACTGATGAATTAGGCTGCTCGTCGAGCCACTTCATAATCGTATCATATTCTTGATTATGATCTTCATTCTCATCTCCAAGGTTAAGTATAGGCCCAACTGGGTAGATTGGCGGGATTTTCTCATCATCGGAAAGGGCTTTCAAAGCGTGTGATTCAAGCTCAGCGAACGTGTTCACCATAATTCCTTTCGTCTCCCTGAATCTTCGTGCATGATTGACGAACATGATGCTACTTTCATCATTGTCTAGTATAATCCCAGGCAAACATTTGACTGGAACTGGATTAATGTAAGTTGAGATCAGTACTTCTGATTCAGAGTCGACGCAATTATGAACTTTCGGACTGCATTCAATACTAAGACTTTGAAAATGGAGTTGGAGTCCAAGCATAGCTGCACTAGAAGTGTAGAACACATAACTTGGGATTCCAAACTCGTTCGCCACATCAATCATCGCAGTGCAGAACATGTCTATTACAAATCCTTTGAGTTTCACAGAACTTGACGAACTAAAGGTTTCATTAACAGCATCTTTGACACGATCCTTGTAGCTGGAGATGTACTCAAAAAAATTGATGGCATTAAAACTGCTCATACTAACAGAGGTCTCAGGTTGAGAAAGTGGAAGCAGCGTTATACGAGAAGTGTACTCTGAGGACAGTGATTTAGTATAGGATGGAATCTTTGTCTCCAGGGGAAGCGACATGATCAGAACTGTGATCGAAAGCTGCTCGTCTCTGTCGACTAGTTGCTTTGCCACCTCCACAGTGGGTACAAGGTGACCCATCCCAGGAGCAGGAATGAATACTAACTCTGCTGTTTTCATTTTTCTCACTTGGTTGGGTGTTAGAAAAATCTTGACTATGTTAGTTTCAGTGGAAGTTTTGGTTCTTAATCAGATATTCAAAGTCATTGGAGGTTTATATAATGTATATTATTCTTGGAGAACTAGGTTCAAGATTGGTTTGAAGTTTGAACTAGAATGATGTCACTGCTTTGCTGGTTTGGTGAGAAGCAACGTAACTACCTTGAACTAAAGTTGGTCTACAATGTAAGAATATTAAATTAGGATCAGATGTTGTGTAATATGCAGTGTATAACAGTATGAATTTTGATAGGAAAGACAAACGTTATAATGTTTCTTTTATGACATCAGTAATTACGATTGATTTGATACATCGAAAGAGGACAAGTTCATATAGGGCTGCTCAATGAAATTAATGGTCTAAAGCCAAACCTTAATATTATGTCTTAAGTTTATTTAATTAAATTATATATATTTTATTTGATTTTTTTTTATAATGGTGTACGGACCATCTTCTACGTATCTTGATCATTTATTCTGTTACCTGCTAGCTCCTACCATAGGAGATATTTGCTTTACTGGTCTAGAGAGAAGCAAATTCCTTGAACGAAAGTTGGTCTGCAATGTAAGAATATTAAATTATGATCAGATATTGTTTTATTGTGAATTTTGATCCAAAAGACAATCAATGTTTCTCGATGACGTTTGATTTGATGTATTGAAAGAGGACAAGTACATTAAAACGATAACATTTCTTGGTGAAGCAGCCAGGGGCAGAGCCAGCAGACCCTTTACGGGTTCGGACCAGTACTACCTTTTGCTTAAATAATGTATTTTTAACATGTATTTGTGTTAAAAAGATTATTAAATATATACAAAGATTATATTTAGAACCTAGTTATTAACATAAACTCATCGTTCTAATTAAAATCCAGAACACATAAAATTGAAATTCTGACTTTACCTCTGGAAGCAGCAACGCCTTGCCTTTTTTTTTTTTTCCGTTCAAATCTTTCAGTTAAAAATCGATTAATGCATGCATGCACTGTTTTCCAAGTGATTCCAAGTTCAACGAGAAGTCTTCGTTTAAGCAAACAAGCTTAAGTAAAAGAAATCAACTTTTCTTGCCTATTAACGGGGGCGGATTTACTCTATAATGTGGGGTTTACATGAACCCATGGTCTTTCCGGCAAATCAGTTTTTTCATGTACATAATTTACAGAAATGGTCTAATATTATCTTTAGGAACCCATGATCTATAAAGCTTAAGTGGTACACTAGCTGGATATCTCAAAAGTCTTCCCTTCTTTATTAAACTTTGCGCCTAGTCAAACTAGAATAATCTTTTTGAAACGGGAGGAGTACTTTAGAGAAAAATGTCCAAATTTAGTTGTCTACGTTTGTTTTGGTTTGAGAATTACCTTCTATTGTAATTCAGTTATTTTGTTTTTTAAAGCTCATTTGAAATTCTACTATTGCAAACTAACAGTTTTACAAGTCACAATACAAATGTTGTCCTCTTTATCTAAGGGTATTTCCAACCCTTAGCATCATTTTTTTATACTGAAACGGTGTAAACATCAAAATGGTGCAAATTAATTCTAACCGATTACACTATTTTTTACACCAAAAAAGAATATTTCTTTTATATTCTTCTCTCTCTTCTATATTATATTATTTTCTTTATAAAACAAATTCTTCTTTTTTGTCTTTTACATATTTATCTCATTAATTCATATTTCTTTCTTATATAATCATTTAATATAACATTATTTTATACCTTTAATTTTTAAATAATATAAAAACGTGACGGCCCTGCAATAATTGCAAAACGAGATTGCAAAATTCGAATGCACGTCCAACATCTTTTCGACATGATTCTTGCTCTATCGCGAAATATTTCTTCTTTTGAGAATGTGGCTCATGAATAGTTTGCACAATACTAGACCATTTTGGATATATACCGTCGGCTAAATATATAATAACCCACATCATATTCTTTTCCTTGAATAACATAATGGGCGGGAAGAGCAATACCTTTAGCAAGATTAGAAAACAAATGTGATGAGTCTAAAATATTAATGTCATTATTGGTGCCGGGCATATATACCAAAATATGCATGCCATACCCAAAGGTCATAATCAGCTACAATATATTTTTGATGGTTATATATTTTTATATAATTATAACTTATAATAGAATCAACTTATATTTTTATACAATATTTATACACCAAAATTAAAATATAAAACTAATATTATAAAGATATTACATAAAAATTATAAGTAATTATAAAATTTTAATATGTTAAATTAAAAGTGTTATATAATAAAAAATAATAACAAAATAATGATGAATAGTAATGGTGTTGATGAATAGTGTTACACCAAATTTAGTGTAACACTATTCACACACCAAAATGGCGTAAGAAATGGTAATGGGTTGGAGCAACAAAACACCAAATCTTACACTAAAATGGTATTTGGTATCAAAATTGGTGTTGAATTGGAGATGGTCTAAAAGAAACTGCTACATGCTCTGTTCATTCATCTCCAAAACAAATTTGTAATACTTTCTTATACTGTGTTAAGAAATATAATAAGAAAAGGAAAAAGAAAGCTTATCCCATGACATTGTACAAAACAAAGAAGCAGAAAATCCCTGGCCCAAATAAACCCTCCTCTTTTTGTACAACAGGACTGGTGCTTTCTCACTATGTAGTATATGATATACTTCCTCCGTTTTAATTTAAATGATATATTTTCTTTATTAGTTTTTTTTATAAGTTACACTTCTCTTAAATTTTTTATTTTACCCACTTTATCCTTAATGAAAAACTTTTATAGCCATACAAATATCGTGACCCCATAAATCTTTTGCCCCTTAAGCTTTTAGGACCACATATTTTAAAAGTCCTTTTCTCTTAAACACTGTGCTAAATCAAACTAAATCATCTAAATTAAAACGGATGGAGTACTTTATAATTTGTATAGGAATGAATAACGAGTGTAAGTATACAAGAAAGTCAAGCAGATAGGAAAATAATATTAGAAGAAAATGGCCGCACCTCCAGGTAAAAACTTATAGCAACCCAAAGTTAATATCAAATTAATTAATATGTATATGTGTTTTTCGTACATATATTAACACTTACCAGAGTTAAGGCTAAGAAACCGTACCATTAATGATGGCTCTCATTTGGGCATATTTTCCTCCCAATACTTGACATGTTGGAGCAGTTTAACAGAAAAATATGTAGTCTCTTGGCATGCAAATAAAGTAGAGATGTTGTCTGGAATCAATTACAAAATTTTAACCCTCTTATATGGAGTAGAAAATTACAAAAAAAAAAAAAAAAAAAAAAAGAAGAAGGAAAGTTTGCCACCTCTTAAATCTGCTCGTATACACGTATCACACTCGACACCACAAGCACAGCACAGATATTTTTTCATTCTGCATTTACACACTCGGGAGGAGGGACCACTCTAATCATTTTTTAACAAAATTCACTCTCAATTACATTGAGGTCATATTTGGGATCGAAATAACATGATATATATGGACTCTAGCTAATAATGCAAACTTTTGAGACGATAAATCAGACGAGAAAGAAAAATATACTAAATTAGGCATAAAGTATTATTATGATTTGGTCAATCACCTATATATGATTCACTGCTAAAAGAGAATAAAATTTTGAGAGAATACTCGAGGTTGTGTTGTTAATGTTGTTGTGAGAAGCAGGAATTCTTAATTTATAGATGTCCACGACTTTTCCGCTAAGAAAAGGATAAGGCATTCTTTTTCCCTTACTTCAAGAAAGATAGTCCTAATAGATTAGAAATTCAAGACAAAACCCTAACAATATGAATCAAGTACTTTCGACGCGAAACATAAATTTATATCCTAGATCCATTTCGCTGAGGGCTACACTCCTATTATTTCTTCAATTGATATTTCAATCTAGAAGGATATCTTTTTTCATTTCACTAAGAATTCTTGCATTAATTATTGAAAAATTATATATGGTCTGATACGTTACCTTTTTTGGCCTACTAGTCATCTTTTAACAACTTCGCATAAATCTGAAACAAGCCACAAAGTGTTATTGTGTTGATCTTGTTCCGATACTCAAAACACCAACTACGAATAAATTGTAGATGTAGTATAATATAAAGGAGAATTCTTGTAAAAAAAACTTTATCTTATTTATGACAATCCAAAGGTTGATCTCAATCAACACGTTCCAAAGCACACAAGGCACACAAACAAGGAAGAATCTTCCATGTAATCAATACAAATCAATAAATCATGGGGAAACGCAAATTCAAAAAAAAATTACAGTCACATTCTGTATAACGCTCTGTCAAGAGATAAGACAGAAAAAAATTTACAAAAAAAAGAAGACAAATAATGTGAAATTGATAGTAATCAGTGTTGATCAAATTAAGCCCATTTGGCTATGAGAGCCATGAGTCCAGCACCAAGAAGAAGTGAAATATTGGCACCTAATTGAAGTTTTCCATTGCCTTGCATTCTTGGATGCATAAAATCAGCAGCCAAAAAATCAACTAATGCCATATAAATCAAGATACCAGCTGATGCTGAATTAAATACTCCTTCTACAATGAGAGCCGTCGGACTGTTTTCATCGTAAACATTTGTTATTCCTAGTCCAATTGCAATTCCCACTGGAGTTGTAAGAGAGAAAAATAAAGCCATTATTGCCACTGCCCGAGTCTTGAATTTTGCCTGCATGAAGGGCCAAAAAAGTGTTTAAGCTTTGTTTGCTGACATGTAAGAAATATTTATACGATGTCCCGAAATGGCGGGGAAAGAAAGGTTCCTTTTTCTAGGGTACTCTCGGGAACAGATCAAGTGGAGACAGGGTGGGGGCGTAGAGGATTAAAGTACATGGCTATGAATCACGGTGTCAGGGGTTCGAATCCCTTCTCGCCCACAACGGCCCAGAAGGGAAGTACCTTTTCGCAATAGCAAACCAAAAGTTATGGAACTTGGGTGTGGATCTTTTGTCGAACCAAAATCATGACCTTTAAGATACTATCTGTTAAAACTATCACTAAGATTATAGTATTGACCCAAACCAAACAAGCTTCCTGAAGAATAGAAGAGCGGCCAATAACTCCATCATTGTACAAGAAGTTATCACACATTATAATAAGATGAGAGGTAAAAGTAACAATATGATTAATTATGAAAAATTGATC